CCCCCCCCCCCCCCCCCCTCCCTCCCCCCCCCCCCTTAAGACCCCCTTAAGGGGGTGACCCTTAAGCCCCCCCTTGAAGCCCCCCTTAAGCCCCCCTTGAAGCCCCCCTTAAGCCCCCCTTCGCCCGAAGGTCTGGGGCCCAGCCCCGAAGTCAGCAAGGTGCAAATGTGGCAACCACCCACAGCGCCGGTTTGGTGATGGTCTTCGGTCTGGACAACGGACCTGCACATCTCTCGTCGGCACAGAAGAGTGCGGCGGTGTCCACAGCATCTGTCTTCATGCAGCACAGTATCACTCGCCTTCTAGAGGTCTGCAAAGGCACAAGTGTGCAGAAGTGGCAGTTGCAGGCACGATTCTTGGGCACAGCTTTTTGTGCGTTCGTCTTGCCCATGAAGTTGAAACTCTGCGCTTGCAGCACCGTATGGGAGGTTTATCGTTTTGTTGGAGGAAGCAGGTTTAAAGTGAGCCCAGAATTCGAGCTTGGTGCCTCTTTGTCTTGGAACATGTCTGGAAGGCAGCTTGAAAACGGCTTTGCAGGTCTGCATCTTCGTGCCAAGGCTTGAGCTATGCAGATTTAGGTTTCGAGAGGTGTGGGTGTTCGGATTTTGTGCACTGGCTTCATTGTTGTCATCTTGCTTAAAATTTGGCCAACCTCGTGGGTTTTCGTGGATCTTTTGACATGGACCTGCATTACCATGGTGTTCGAACTGCTTACGACTGGATTGTCAATGCCGAGAGTTGCAATGTCGGTGCAGCTTGAAAGATAAAAAAATATCCGCAAGGCACGTGCAAGCCCATCTACATCTTGTGCACAAGAAGTTTGGACCAAGTCGTGCGAATCTGCTGCGCGTACCCTCAAAGGTTTCCATTTTGGATATGCGCGTCAGCCCAAGAGGTTATCAGTTTTTGTTGGATGTTGAAAAAACTGTGCGGCAGGCAACAAATAGCATCTAAATTTGGACGACACAAAATCAGAAACTCCGTAAGACATTGTAGAAGAATCAGCTTGAAGAAAACCAAAGAAAATAAGCACTGCACAGTTCTGGTGAGCCGATCTGGCTGCATAGCTTCACAAACATTGAGACAAGTAGTTTTTTTGGTCTGGAAGAACATTTAGGCGTCGAAAATTGCATCACAGGCAAAAACAGATCGACAATTAGAAAAGCAAAACAAATGGAAAAAATAAGTTTTTGTAACTCTGGGAGTCTAGGTGATTGTGTGCTGCTGTGTTTTGGTGGCAGAACATATTTGTTTAGGAACACAAATGCAATTGTATTTCGGTTTTTACGTGCTTGTGGCTTACTTCTTTCAGAATGAAGATGTGTCTGTCATTTCAGTATGTTTTTAATAGTATAATGTTGATAAAAACATGTTTTATAATCTCTGTTATGTGTCTATATTTATGTGTTATGTACAAACATTTTACATTACAAATGTTTTATGCTTTTTTCTGAAATTACAAACATTATATGTCGCAAAGAAGAAGACTAAATAGTATGTCTCGTGTGTTTACCTGTAACAGCAATCAAGAAACGGAAGTACTTTGCAAAGCAATCCTGGATTTTTTTCACTGTATATCACGATGGATGTTCATCCGCAACGTGGTGAGCTTAGCAAGTCCAGACTCATAAAGAGGTTTTGGGGAGGAAGGGCGGGGGCGGCGGGGAGCATAAGGAAAAGCCAGGTTTGGGGGAGGAGGCAGGGAGAGCATAAGGTAAAGCCAGGTTCGCTTTTAGGAAAAGCCACGTTCGCATAACGAAAAGCCGGGTTCGCATAAGAGCAGAAACCGTTAGCATAAAAAAAGCCGGGAGCATAAGGGGAGAAACCATGAGCACAAGAAAAAATACCATGCCCATTGAAGACAGCCTGGATCCTGGTCTTTCAAAGTTTGGGTTTGTTTTTTTGAGTTGCTTTGACGGGGACTTTCAAAGTTTGCTAGAGATGATTAACATTTTGAGAAGATTTCGGATTCAGAGTCTGTTTCAGGTTTGGATCGAGTTAGGTTATGAGTTTAGAGCAACAAAGATGAAAGTTGGATTGAAGGTTGAGGTCTGAGCTTCGGGAAGAGCTTTTAGCTTCGGCTGGATTTGGATGGGCAAGGCAGAGTCAAGGGGTTTCGGGGATTGGACGTCACAGAAGTTTTGGATTTGGAAAAGCTTCGAGCTTCAGGGCTGGGACGGTCGCAACAATGCGTGTGTTTTTAGCTGAGCATTTTGTGAAATTTGCTTTTGGTTTGCGGATGGTCAATCTCGAGACCAATTTTTAGCGGTCTGAAAAGCCGCCTGAAACGCATTTAAAGTCGCATCGGTTTAAATAGCTGCCGTATTCTGCTGTATATGCATGGAACAACTCTAGCAGGCGTCCCTTGCAACGGAATGAGGGGTGGAACAAAAGCATCGCCTTTTCGCAAGGAGCAGGGGAGTCCAAGACCGCCTCCCCTGGCCTGGACGAAGATATTTTGGGTGATGTCGTGTCGGATGACATCGTAAGTGCATATGGAGGCACATGTGAAAATGCATGCAATACCACACGCATGTCATGCTCCACAACAACATGCAATTGCTTCAATCTCTAGAGATCCGATCTTCCCAAAACTTCGTGCCATGGCAGAAGATGACGCGGAAGTTGCGGAATATGTGCTTTTCAACAAGTTGCTTGGCTTGAGCATGTACGCATAACAGTTGCCCATGTGAGCAGGCAAAACGAGCCCGTTTTGCAAAAAATGATGTGAGGCGTGATGCCAAAGTGTACCAGGCAGCGTGGGTATTTGGGAACAATCAAAGCATTGGGAAAGCAGGGTTTAGACGAGGTCGGTACGATGCAACAACAACGTTACCATGAATCATTTTGCGTGCAAACGTTGATCGTGATTTGCAGGTGCCGCCAGCAACATCAGCCACAGGCCATCGAGCTGCCGATTGGAAGGTCGCCCGTTTCATTGGCATTCGGAAGAAGGCAACCCTTGCAAAATGAAAACACTGCAGGAAGCCATTTGGAGAGGAAATGTTCGGATAGTGGCACATGGCAAAACGATGACTATTCGCACCTTGCTTGCATCCGTTGTAAAACACGCGATGGAACCACCAACAGTGTTCATGTGGCAGGGTTGTTGGATACTGGCTCGGACACTTTGTTCGCGCAATGTGTCAGCAGCTCAGATGGGTTGCCCGTCGAACATACCGGAGCATGGCTTTTTGCGTCGGTCCGTCATGCGATGCTAGTTCCATGCATGTTTTGTTTCTGTTGAAGGTTTGGTTCACACTTGATGTCTATTCACTACATGGGTCAACACGGCAGTCTCGTTCAGCTGGGTGTCCGTCCTTGTAAACAAAATTGCCGGGTGGTTCATCTGATTTAGCAGCCAACATGAGGGATCATGACACTTTTTCTCCACTTCGAGCACGCTCGAGCTCGCTGTCGCCTAAAGTTGCCGGCGTTATCCGGCAGGGTGGTCCACGTGTCACAGTGTGGTGTGGGACGTGCACTTGGTAAACATGAAATTTCACGCATTCACGATGCATCGAAAATCGAAGTTGTCGCCAGTATTTCTGATGGCAGGTTTTTGCTGGAATTTGCGAGATATGTTGGTGGAGCCGGTTGGATGAAGCAACCCGTTTCGGCGACACCCTAGCATCGTCTCCCAGGACGGGCGGCCCGGTACAAGTTGCTCCTCGACGATGTTGCACGGTTTGAGTCTTTAATATCGTCGCGTGCGCACAGGCCTCACAAGTCGCGCCTCACACCATGGTTCGTTGTCGGTGCACTTCTGTGGCTGGCGTTTGGGACATGTGGGACGCCCGGGCGGGGATACGTGAAATGCCCGGGGTGTTGAGCAGGGAAATCTTTCCGCGACGGTTCTGCATTCGGCGGAGTGCGGACTATTGCAAAACGAGCAGCTAGCAGCTAGCAGCGTTGCAAGAGAACCTCAACGTCGTCGCCGAACCGGAGCAGGCCAAACACTTGCTTGACATCGGGTTGCTGTTGCTGCTGCACGGGCCCTTGTCTCCGAACCTCTGGCGCCGGGTTCCTTCGACACGCGCCAAGAGCTCCGTGACCCCGCGAACCGACCCCAAACTCCTTATGTACCCCCCGATCCAGCGATCCCCGCATGCACACCCTGTGCATCCGTTCCTTGCGAGGACCAGACGATGATCGGCCACTGGACCCTGAGGCATCACCAACGAACACGTGCGCGTATGGCTCGACGATTGCACGCTCTTGCGCCGCGCTGCCGAGCGGCTTGCGCGTGCTGAGGTGCCAGAACCGGTCGTCGCTGCCATCCGAGCCGGCCGCATATAGTCCCCCTGCGCAAACGGTCGCGTGCGGGCCCTTGTTGTTGGTGACGTGCTGTGGAGCTAGTCGGGCGCACGCTCGCGCAACAGTATGCGTCTGACTTGCAAGCCGCCTGCAGGGTTTTTCGATTTGGCCTCAGCACCCGTGCAGGCACGGAAGCACTGGTCTGCCCCCTATGTGTTGCCATTGAAATGGGCCCGCGTGCAACCGTGCTGTCCATCGATGCAATGATCGGAGCTTTTGATCTTGTGTCTCGCCCCGTGATGTTCAGCTTGCAGCAGCTGCTGCTGCTGCTGCTGCTGCTGCTGCTGCTGCTGCCCTACGTGCATCACGTCTATGCCTCCGATAGCACGTGTGGCAAGAAGCCAACGGGCAATCCCACCATGTTCCCGTTTTTGCCGGCCCTCTACGTCATCGCTCAACACCCAACCCTCGCAGCCCGCACACAGCCGTTTTTGCCCACCTTGACGACATTTATGTCACACCTGCCAACGAGACTTCGCGAGCATGTGTGCATCGAGCTCAGCCGTGGCAAAACCCGCGTTTGGAACGCAACTGGAGCGGAGCCCGCACACATCTCCTTCGCGGCCATGGCGAGGAACCCATGGACGCGGGATAGGTCTTTGCCACGCAATCGCCAAGGCTTTGTCGTTCTCGGCCTGCCGCTCGGTACATCCTGGCCGCGAAACGGACATAGCACAAACGCAGGCCGAAGCGGGCGCATAGGGAACTTTGAGACAGCAACGTCGCCAGGCACGTTCCCACGGCAGAGTCATGCTCGCGTGCAAACGCTTCCGTCGCTGCAGGTGGTTTGCACTTCGCGAAACAGCAAAGCGCTGCAGGTCACCGACGGCAGGCAAACATGTGAGCAGCTGGTCCTGCATCTCACGTGCGCAGGGCAGCTCCCGTTGCACGAAATTTTTACTCCCGTGGTGCGCCCAGCACCAGCAGCGTGCTGGTGCGCTGGCAACGACTAGGCGCCTGTCCACACTAGCTGTGGTGCCGACTGGCTAGAGTTGGGCACGGCCGGCGGGCTCCTCGCCGGCAGCGCTCCATGGCGCGCCTCACCTGCATGCCGCCTGCGTGCCGGTCCACCACCCTCGCCGGCGGTAGACGAGGCGCGCCCCATCGGCATGCGCATGCATCACGTTTATAACATGCCGCTGCACCCCCTTTGTCCTCCGGCGGACACGGAGTGCCCCACCTGCACGCCGCCCGCATGCCGCAGTTTGGCGACGGACACGGCGCGCCCCACCTGCGACAACAGTGGGCGGAGCGAGCTTCTTCGTTTAGCTCGAACCCTCGTAGCTGAAGCAGTGTTGTGGAAAACACCTTACACACGCACACTCTCGTTTGAGCGGTTGTACTGATGTCTTTTGCATGCGCGAGCTGGCGGCCTCTGCCAAGCCAACTCCTCGCTCCAGCGGCTGCCCATAAATCGCGAGCACAGCGAGTCGCTGTGCGTGACTCGACGGGCGTCTGGCGGCGCAAAAACTCGCCTGCATCATCTGCCTGGTGCCGCGACTTGTCATTGGTTATCCGCTGCTACATTGCAGCCTGGGCTTAATAGCAACCGTTAGTTCGACACTGTCTCTCCAATGGCTTCGCACCGCTTTGCTTATGGAGGGACGACTTTGGAATATACGGGTCGTGAAAGGTCTGGAGGGAGCCGAGTCCGCGACACGGCGAATGCATTCGATGGGATTTGTGAGTCTGCATTATTTTCCAGCTCTTTTGACACGGCACCCGATCCTCGAGCACCTCGCAATGGACCACCGCTCCCCCACGCCTGTGAATGGGCCCCGCGCGCATCCCTTGCCAGGGAACCCTGCCTCGGCTCCGGACGCCACGGTTGCGGCTTTGCCGGCCACGGCACTGGCTGGTGGACCGTCTGTACACAAACCACTGTCGACGGGCCCTGCCGGGCCCCCAGTGACGACCGGTCGGCACCGCACCTCCAAGCAGCCTGTATGCCTTACCAGTACGGCCTCAGCACCCGCATCGGCACTGAGGCTGCTGTTAGCCAAACAATCCCCCGAGCCACGATTCTCTCCGTCGACGCTGTTGGTGCCTTCGACCATGTGTCGACGCCTGGTATGGCCTCCCTGAGCTACAGCCTCTCCTCCCCTTCGCCCGTCAATTTAATGCCAGTCCCAGCAGCTACACATGGATAGATGACGATGGTCACGCTCTGCGCTGTTGCTTTCGCAAGCGGGGCCCTTCGCCGGCCGCGCCTGCAGCGTCATGCCCACACATGGCATCCCTAGCGCCCAATTCCGAGTGCTGCTGCTGCGGCGCCTGCGCATGCCCTTGCAGCTCGCGCCGCGCAGATGCAGCTGCCGTGGACAGCTCGATGAGCTTGGTGACCACCGCGCGGCGTGTGGTCGCAGACGAGCGGCGCATCGAAGTCGTTGCCAACGGCCTCCCGCTGTGGCATGGATCCCAGCTCGCCGTCGACGCGACCATTGTGTCCCCCCTCCCCTGACGCGTCAAGGCGAAGCACACCCCCATGCCGACGTGCAACCTGGCCGTACCATCACCAATGCTGCACGCCGCAAGCGACACCACACATACCCTGAGCTTGGTCAGGCCCGACGGTGCCGCTTGGTGGTCGTCGGCATTGAGGGCCGTGCAGCTGCTGCGCCTTCTGGCCTGCCCAGTAGGCCGTGCTGGCACCGGGACCCCTAACGCGAACCTGCCTGCGGACAAAAAGGTGCGTG